CCCTATATTTTATATCATCATGTATTGATCAATAATAAGGTCATTTCCAGAATTATTGTTCTCATCTGGTATCAGTAAACCAACCAAATGATCCAGGGCTACAAACCATACCAAGAAAAAAAAAAAAAAAAAAAAAAAAAAAACGTTGCGCCACCACCAGCCGGTGACACCACCTCCTCTTCTCGCATCATCTTCAATATTGTCTATCCAACCACAACTCCGATAAATAGCCTAAAAACAACCAATCACTTTATTATCTCCATTAAACATACTTTCTCAAACTATATGTTATGAAAAACTGAACTTGTTCTATTTCTCTATGGTCACACGTGGATACATTGAAGGCACATTTCTGTGTCCGGCTTCATTTATTGAGGCTCCGGATGAGTGTCATGTTGTAGACTTGTAGTCGCACTGTGGATGAGTGTTTCGTTGTAGCTGTGCTCCGGGTAAATTTTCTGTTGTAGTTGCACTCTGGATGAGTGTTCCGTTGTAGCCGATCCTACGACAAAAAATTTGGTTCGTCAGGATTTTTTATTCTATTCGTGACAAAATAGCATAAAAGGAAAGACGATATGGCAAACATCTTCATCAAGTCACTAACCACAGCAAGACTAAATGATCTAAGGGACAAACTTAATGTACTGTTCTCTGATCTCTAGATAACATTAAGCTTGAGGGGGCGTATTAGGACTTTGTATTCTAGCCACACTAAAATTTATTCTCCCCCACCATATATATTATTGGGGGAAGAGAAATATTATCATTTACCATTCCTATCCTATCATTATTAGGGCTCTTTAAATACATATTTTCATCATGTGTTTTATATCATCACATATTGATCAATAATGAGGTCATTCTCATAACTATTATTCTCATCAAACCGACCGTAAAATTTTAATATTATATTTTCCTAACAAAATAAGGTATACACATCAAAACTTTTGAGAAACAAAAAGATATCAAATTACTTACTTTTGTTACTTTTCAAAGTAATTAATTCACCAATGGTGTGTAACTTGAAATTTTTTATAACAAAAGTCACCTAGGTAGACTTATATTTTTCAATATAAAGAGCAAAAGATTAATGTTATGTTTGTTTCGTGATTTTTGCACCCTACTATGAATTTTGATATCCACTATCATGTTTGTTTGTCTACTTTTGTTATTCTACTATTGAAATTAAATTCTTTAGTACGTAATAACAAACCTATTACATACGCTTTTACTTCTCTACTTTCGAACAATGAAATTAAAAATTAGGAAGAACAAATGAAAAAATAAATAAATAAAAAAGTCATTGGACATTAAATATAAAATTTTAATATACATATATATATATATATATATATATATATATATATATATATATATATATATATATATATATATATATATATATATATATAACATTCTTGATCTACAAATTAATGAAATAAATTTAATTTTACGAAATTTTGATTAATATTGAAAAATTTGGAATATCAAAAATATTATTAAGTTTCTAATAGATATGCTTGTATCATAAAATTAACCATTTATATTTATTATATAAATATAAATCTCCAACATAAGAACTAGTAGAATGTGCCTCTTAATCCAATTGTTATCGAAGTGGGAGATTTAGTCATAAAACACCAAATTTATCATTAATGTGTCACTTAACAAAGTATTGAATGGAATGATTGTATATGAACCGAATTTTGCATCCCAAATAATTAAGAGATTAAATGCATGTATACTCTAATCATAACTTAAAAATAAAAAATGTCATTTTCTCCCATATATATCAACAAAAAAATTTACACAACAATATAATAATAACCTGTCAAATCTGCTAGTATACATCCATACAAAAAATGTTGTTCCAATAATTAGAGCAAGAGGAACACAAACATATAAAACTCATGAACATGCATAATAAGAACAAAATTGTCGAAGCTCATCATCATTAAGTATCATCCTTCACGACAATAATGTTTTTCAGTTTTCATGAACACCAACTAACGTCGTACTCAAGCTCAAGGATTTCCCATGTCTTCCGTTCGTCAATAAATTAAAATGCCTTCAAATTTTGCAGCATCATAAATGAGATCTCCAACAGTCATGCACCATTCTTGCCACGCTTCTTGTTGTTCCATTTCTAACAAAATATATATGAAGTTTATAATGGTCTGACCACGGAATACATAAAGATTAATCATAGTCATTCAAATTAGGACCCTAAAGGGTGACAAAACACTGTCTCGATCATGAGTTTTAAAGTAGTTACATTCATAGAGTTCAAACCAATAAGGATATCAATCAGGTCAGCTTGTTCGGTTTCCGCTACTATGCTTATGGGTTTGGGGTAATCATTTTTTTTTTGTCAGATTTAAAATTCTTGACTCTAATACTAAAATTTCAGGTTGTCCGGCTTAATGGGCATAATCAACTGCAATTTTTAGCACATTTACACTAAAAAATATAAATGTATACATCATTCAATCAATCCAAACCTTCATTTATAAATTTTAACAAAAAATAATTGATATGATATATTTACACTATAATATAATAATTATTACAATAAGTTTTTTTTTTTAATTTTTCATTGTTTAGTTTTATAAAAAATATATTTTATTTTGTAATAAATTCATAAAAAAATTTATTTACAAATGTAATAAAAAAATACTAAAGATAAACTTATATATAAACTTCATATATATTTTGTTCCACATCACTTGTGAGATAAAAATAATAATAATAAAAAGCCTTAAGTGACTTGGGCTATCGGGCTAGCCCGTTAAGGCCACCAGGCTTATCAATTTTAGGCTTATTGGTATAAATTTTTTTTACTCTAACCTTAAAGTTTTTTAATCTTGTCGGTTTAACCCTACAGTTTTGAGCTAAGATTGACATCCATACAAACGCGAGACCTTGGGTTAAGCTAGAGAAATTTATTTGTACAATAATATTTTGGTAAATAATTTTTATGTTAATATTAATATAAAAATTGTTAAAATGTCACTAGCAAATTTAGAATTGAACACATACCATATGATCTAGTCACATTAGCATATTTAATTTGACATTAATGATTCTACCTAATTATTATATTTTTAATAATACCGAAACAAAATTGATCAATTTTTTTTTTTTTTGGAAAAGAGTATTAAAACCTTAGAGAATACAAACTATTTGTTTTAGTTGTTTTTCAAAATTAAATTAGGTGTGCATTTCTTTTCTTTTCTAATTTTTAGAACTTGACGTCTTGACATGATGAAATTTTATTATCACAAGTTATCAAGACCCCAATGACCCCTCACCGCTCAACTAGCCTATAAGCTCCAAATGTGTATGTGACAATTAGCAAAACAAAATTTATAAACTTATTTTGAGTTGATTGTTTATTAACCAGTTGAGTTGTGCCCAAGGGTCTACTCCATTTTTTACTCATGCTTGAGTTGATTTCTTCTTCGATGTGCTTCTCTCCAAACGGCCAAAAAGGAAGAGATCCTCCAAATCCTGTTTCTCGAACATCTGTTTCTCCAAAATCATCTCTACCATTGACCCTTTGAAATCCTCATACGGGTCCTTCGATCTCTTCACGATCGCATAGCTCTCCTTCACGTTCCCCTCCATGCTGCACGGTATCAGGTTCTTGAACATCGACAGCCTCGCCAGCACCTCGCCGTCCAACGACGCCGAAGACCTGAATGTTCTAGAAGCTTCGTCAATTTGATTTTCGTAGATGGAGGAGGAGGACGCGGTGGCACGTTGTCCTGTGGCGGTGGCCTTTACTTTTTTACTCTTTCTAGCTCGACGGAGAAGAAAGAAATCGTCGCAGGAAATGGAGAAGCTCATTGGAGAAGAAAGAAAAGATGAGTAAAATGACTAATATACCCTCATTATTTGACATATTAAATTTGGCCGGCAATTTGGGCGGCGTGACCAAAATTGATAGAAATTGCATAGTCAAAGTATTAAATTAACATTTTTAAAAGTCAAGTGTTACAATTAAAACAACTCAAATAGTCCGTGAATCAAAATTGAAATTTTCTCTATTTATTATTTATTGGTCAAAGTAATTATTTATTATAATTCTTCTTCTTCTTAAACTTAGTTTTTTTGTTTTTTTTTTTTTTTTGAATTCTAAATTTATTATTACTAATACTAAATTAATTTTATAAAAATAGAATTGTAAATAACTTCAATCTATCAAACCTTCTCAATTGAACCAAAAATACTACTTAAACTCCAAAAACTTACTCTCAACTTTTACTCCCACTAAGTATTCAAATTTTATTGAAAAAAAAAAAAGTAATCAATAAAAATCATGACCCTCTTATATTAAGCAATCAAAACAGGCCACATATTAGGGAATAGAGAATGAGAGTACTTGTAGAATTACTCTGATTGAATCATCCACATAAAATAAGATGTAGAGACTAATAATTTTCGTATCTCTTAAATGGTTAAGAAAATATAAACTTTATTATATACCACACTGTCTCTTAATCCAAAAATGTAAATTTAGCCCTTAATATTGGTCCAGTAGATAAAAAGTCACACTTAAAACCAACCTCTAACGAAAGAGTGAGGGTAGACCAGCCCTGGTCCATTGTATAATTTGTCGTGAATTTACGAATCCCACCCTTCAATACATAGTTCACCGAAGTCGATATAAAAGAAAAAAAAACGTAAATTTAACTATTACGAGACTAATTTAGATTCAGTTCGGACCGAATCGGGGTACCTAGAGTTGCAATACCATATGCGCCAAAAGGTGGCTCCCCTTCCCCCTTCCCTCTCCCCTCTTACCCCTTCCCCTTATTTATATATTTATATCCTAAAACGACAGCCACCCAGCAAAACACTCCCTCTTCGATCTCCAATTCTCCCTCTTAGTTATATTTATCCGCCAACTAATTCGACCATTTTGACAATGTCTCTCTTCTTCTCTACTATATAGCTCCCTCCCCTTCTTCTTCTTCTTCAATACTCTGTGCCATTAACAAAAAAAAAAAAAACAAAAAAAAAAAACAAAAAAAAACTGTGCCATTAAGATTCACAATAATGTTTCTTCATAGTCAGCCCAGATTTTCCGTCCATGCTCTGAATCAATAATTCCGGCGAAGATTATACAGAGAACCACCCAGCCAGGAGGATTTTTTATATATGTGTGCCACCAATCTATAGATACAGATGATGTATGTATATATGGGGTGATAGAGACACAGCTCAGCTCGAGAAAAAACGGGTTTTGCGCATAACTTACAAAACAACCAACCCGAACCAAACCATTATACTCTCTCCCACTCCTCAATCCATACACTCTCTCTCTCTCTCTCTCTCTGTTTTCTCTTTCTTTCTCTCTCTGTTTTTGTTCTTTTGTGTCATGTACAGATTAGCTGTAGTGAATAGTGATATTGTCATCAACCGCCGTGCGCCGCCGTGTCGTCCTTATGAGAATAGTTTCATCGTTTCTATCGCCGGCCATTCCTGCTCCGACTATTTCCCACGCGTTTCTCCGCTCTAAATCCGTTTCTGGGAAGAAGGTGAGGGGCGATTTGGGATGGGCCCGCGCCGCCATTGTTGGGGGGGAGGAGAAAGAGAAGGTGGTGGTGGTAATGGGGGCGACGGGGTCCGGGAAATCGAGGGCTTCGGTGGATTTAGCCACCCGGTATTTCACGGCGGCGGAGGTGATCAACTCCGATAAGATACAGGTCTACAAGGGGCTGGATATCACGACGAACAAAATCACAATGCCTGAGCGGCGCGGGGTGGAGCACCACCTGATAGGGGAGTTTGAGGCGTCGGAGTCGCGGCCGGAGTTCTCGGCGGCGGATTTCCGCGCCGCCGGCGCGGAACGGATATCGGACATCGTGGGGAGGGGGAAGGTGCCGTTTATCGTGGGAGGGTCGAACTCCTATATCTACGCTCTGTTGGTGGAACGGTTCAACCCCGAGTTGGACGTGTTCGACGACGAGTGTAACTCGGTGGGTGACTCGTTCGGCCTGGAGCTTCGCTACCGCTGCTGCTTCCTCTGGGTGGACGTCTCCCCGCCGGTGCTAAACCGCTACCTTTACAAGCGAGTCGACGAAATGATGGATTCCGGCATGCTGGAGGAGCTTTCCCGGTGGTACTCCGATCCGAGCAACCCACTGAGTCGGACCGGGCTGGCCAAGGCGATCGGGGTCCCCGAGTTCGCCGCGTATTTCCGCGCCCCCCGCGGGGGTGAACGACGGGAGCGGTTATACGCGGAGGCGGTGCGGGAAATCAAGGAGAACACGCGGCTGCTGGCGGAGAGGCAACTCCGGAAGATCCAACGGCTGAGAGAAGTGGGCGGGTGGGAGATGCACAGAATAAACGCCACGGCGGCTTTCGCGGCGGCGATGGGGTCGGAATCCGAATCGGAAACCGCCGAGATTTGGGAGAATCAGGTGGTGCAACCAAGCATGAAGATTGTGGAGAAGTTCTTGTTGGAGTAGGTTTTCCAGCTATTTCCAGCTCTCACTCTCTCAATACAATATTTTTAATTTCACTTTTTTCTTTGAAAAAAAAAATTTATTTATTTTCTGTTTTTTCTTTTCTTTCTGTTTTTCCCCATAGAGAGGAAAAAAAAAAAAAAATTGCGTATTGAGAGAGTTTGGATGAATGGGCGACCAATTTTGATGGAGTTTTGGGCATTTTTCAGTTCAAAAAAAAGTCTTACTATAAATACATAAAAAAGGGATTTTCAATTTTCCACTTTGATTTCAATACATTCTTTTGTTTTTATTTGGCCTATTAATATTCCTTTGCAATATATTCTATATTCCTAATTCCTGCCCCTTTATTTTATCCTTTTTTTTTTCATTTTTTATAATTTTCTTATTCATCACTAAAAAATTATATCATTTTATAAAAACTCATTCTGATTATTATTGAATATTTAATTACTATAATACTTCGATTATTGTACAGTTCTCAGTATTTTGACCTGACAGAGTATTTGAAAGAATGTAAATTACGGTGATCAAATACTGGTGGGCATAAGGGATCTGTTCGATCTGTTCACTTGGCGTATAATCCCCACGTTATTGTTGTTAAAGTTTGAATTTTGATCACTTCTCTCAAATACTGCTTCTGAACTAATACACTAAATTGGTGAAGTGTAATTTTTCCGATAATAGCTGATCAATTTACTAACTCCTAGAATCCAACAACTACACTAAAGAAGCACATTTCAATCCGTTTGTTGGTTTGACAAGCTAAAATGTAGCATTAAACGAGATAAGGTTTAAACTTTGAAATTTAATTTGTCGGGGGAGAAACATTCCTGCCATGGCCGTAACAACATAGTAGTTGGTTGTAGTTTGGGGACCATGCCCGCACATCAGTACGAATTAACATTCAATTTTTTCAGTCTATAATAAGTTTTAAGGTTTGCTATCATTCCAACATACATGTGTTCGGAAATTCATTCGTGGAGAAATCAATTCATACCTGTCGTTTTCACAAAAGGCTGAATCTTTAATCTCGATCCGACAAAGCATTTAAAAGAATGTAATGTAAATCACGATTACTCAATGGCAACAGACATGGTCAAATAAGGGACCTGTCCACTTTGGACATAATTCCCACACAAATGTATGTCGTCGAGGTTTGAACCTTGATCTTCTAAATACTGCATACTGAATCATTGAACTAAGCTCGTGCGGGTAATTCATACACGTGATCAAAAGTTTGATGAGTGGTTTATTTCTCCATTGTAGATGTGTTGACAATAAGGTTGTACAAGTCTAACGTTGTGGTCGTGTCCAAACTTAGCACTACATAGTTTACTAGAGAATAGTACGTAGGCCCGCATCAACAATTCGGGTAGTAAATTGTGGACACGGATGCAAAATTGAAACTTGACAGTTATAGTGTGGGATGATACTTCAATGTGATAAGCTCCTCGTGAGCATTTGGTCTTCTGATCTAAGAAATCATTGAATTATCGTAATTTATCACTATATCATTCTATCGAGTTGATGTGAGTGACCTTTGGACCAGTATTCTTGTACCCCTCGAATCAAACATAGCCAATAAATGAATAACTAATACTACTTTGTTGTGAATTGAAATGTTTTTCGTGTGAATTGTTGTATCATTATAGCGGATTGTTGTATGAGTCAGAAAAAATTTAGTGAAAAAAAAACAAGACACAAGAATAAAGAATGTAGCTCACTGCAAATATATGTATACTCCCATTATTTGTAGAACTTTAGTCTTGCTTTTCAAGGCTCATCCTTATGCCTATTCCATAAACAAGTTTCTCAAAAGTTGAAGTATGCAAAGACTTAGTTAAAAGGTTTGTGATAACGACTTCTATACCATATAATTAATTTTAACCAAGCACATTCTTTACTAGTTTCATGTAGGACGATAATCTCGAAATGGTTGAAAGATTTTACTAACGTCTACGTAGTAAAACATCATGATATTGCAGTTTTGTTATATATAAATGAATAAATAACCAATTTATAAATGATCTTTGTGTGGATCGAATCTAAATCCAACATCAGCATACCCTAGTTTAACGAAATAGAAAAACAAGAATTGTCAACCAAAAAAAAAAAAAAAAAGAGTTAATACTTTATTTGATCACTCGATTATTAAGATTTCATCATTTTAGTTTTCGACTTTCAAACTTGTTCAATTTAATCTCTAAATATGCAATTGTTACTCAAAATGGTCCTCATCAAGACTATTTTAATTTGAACTAAGAACTATTTTAAATAAAAATTATATAATTAGGGTTAAATTGAACACATTTGAAAGTCAAGAATCAAAATGATAAAATCTTAATTATCAAATGACCAAATCAGGTATTAACTATATAACCAGGACTATGTGGTCTAATGGTATCCGGGTTGGACTTCCATTTGGAAGATTGTAAGTTCGAGCTTCAGTGGAGGCGTTATTAGCTCTTTGTGTTTTAGTAGGTTGAGAAAGTATATGAACAGATACTACAATGTAATAGAGCTAGTAGCATTCAAAAAAAAAAAAAAAAAAAAAAAAAAAAAAGGCATTAACTATATAAAAAAAAAAATAACAAAAAAAAAAAAACGAAACAAACTTTTCAAATTGACCAAAGGATTTTGGTCATAATGCGGGCCCTACTGTACCATACAGTCCCTAAAACGTGGCGTTGTGTGGGACTGTGGGTTTACGTGGAAGTTGTACAACGGTCTACGTGGCTTTTGGTCTCGTCCCTATGTTCATTTCCTTCTTTTTAGTCCAAATATCATACCAAACATATACAACATGTCTCAATCTCTACCATTTTATCTATTTCATTTACTAATTTACAATTTATTAGTCAAATCAACTTTTTATTTTTTTATTTATTTTTTTTAAAATCTTTTACTTATTTTTAAATTTATTTTTGTGTTTAATAATATTTTTAGTGTAATTTCTAAATATATAAATTTTGTATATTAATATTAAACTTAATATTATAAAATTGAATTAAAAATAATTTCACTCGATTATGAGGATAGATTATGAGGTTATCCCTCTCCACTTTGAACCAAAAAAACATCTACTAAAACATCGTTAATCGAACCAGACACATAAAATAGGACGGAGGGATAACCTATATCAGTCGGTTATGAGGTTATCCCCCTCCATTTTATCTATATCACTACAATTTTAATTCTCTCTAAATATAGTGTAATAATAAAAAGGAATAATGGTCAAATAGGCCACTCAACTGCACACTAACATGCAATTAGGACATCCAACTCAAAAAGAATGCAATAGGATCCTTGAACAACACAAATGTATGCGATTTGACCCAAAATTACTTGTTTACCTGAATAGGAGGTTACTAAATTTAAAAATAATTTTTTAACAATAATTTTAATTAAAATAAATATTTAAAATTTTAAAAAAAATAAAACGCCAGAGACGAAGAAGTCTTCGTCTCCGACGAGTCCCTTCGTCTCCGGCCATGGAGACAAAGGTACCTTTGTGTCCGTCGGCTATGGGCAAGCGCGGAGCCACCTTGTGGTTGCAGGGGACCTTGGCCCCCTCCCCCAAAAAATAATTTTGTTTTATTACTATTATAATGTTTTTGGCCCTCCTCAATTAATCCCATTCAAAAGCTTTTAGAGTCTAGAGTTTTAAAGTAGCTTCCAGGTAATTTTTCATTTCTTTATTCTTTAAAGTTTTGGAATTTTTTATTTATAAGTTACCCTGTATTAAATTATTGGAGATAAATTCATTCGTTCTTACCACAACAAAAAGTCTAAATATTGTAATTAAATGGTCGTTAATTCGTCTCTTAATTAGAACACTATGCATTTACTGCTAAGAAAAATAAAATATATTGTAGTGATTGGCCCCCGCGCTAACAAATCCTGACTCCGCCCCTGGCTATGAGTACCTTCGTCTCCGGCCAGGAGACGAAGGGACCCGCCGGAGATGAAGACTTCTTCATCTCCGGCGATTTTTTTTTTATATTTTATATATTTATTTTAATTAAAACTATTGTAAAAAAATAATTTTTAAATTTAGTAACCTCCTAATTCAAGTAAACAAGTAATTTTGAGTCAAATTGCATAAGTTTGTGTTGTTCAGGGACCCAATTGCATTCTTTTTGAGTTGGATGGTCTAATTGCATGTTGGTGTGCACTTGAGTGGCCTATTTGACATTTATTCCTAATAAAAAGTACATTTTTTAAAGAAAAATAAGAAATTAAATCCCATGAGAACGGTGATATCAAATTGCACTCACATTCATTTCTAGAGTACAAATAATCCAATATCTTAATGATCGAAATTTTGTAATCTAAAGACACAAATTTAAAAATTTTTTTAACAAGTCATAAACTCAATTTTCAATTAATAATTTTTAAAATTTACTAAAAAGATTCCTTTCAAAAAAGAATTTATTAAAAATATATTAATTATTTTATGGGGATCATCTTTTATTTCTTTGTGGTCATATTCAATGTCATTATTTTCCATTTCGATCTTATCAATTTTTGTTTTGTTTCTTTTGTTTATTGCTTTTACTGTCTCATTTTATAGTTAATTAAATTTAAGTATTAATTTATTTGGTGCTAATAGGAAATACAATTTATATTTATAATTACTTTAAATTTGTTACCAAAAAAAAAAGTCAAATTAAAGTATCATAAAAATGTTTTAAAATGACAAAAAAAATCTATTAATTTGATATTTGAGTAATAAATAAGACAAATAAAATGATTGAAAATATTTCCCTTTGGACCACGAATTGAGAGTGGGGATTGCTTGGAAAAGTCTTCTATAGTATAACATCGGAAGGAAAGATTTTTGAAAGCAACTATTTTTGCCGACGCCTAAAAGAAACAAATTATATTTATTGTGTATTTGTGTAATTCATTAAGTGACGAATTAAAAGAAATTCATACATTCTAATAGAGTCATTAGTATTTTAAAAAAAATTATACAGTAATTAAATATTTAAAAAGTCCAATTCAATAATGTTAAATAGTATGGTAGGGGTAAATTCAACAGCATTACTCCATATCGCTCCGAGAGATAACTTCAGCCAAGTTTAGTAATCAAAATTTAGAAATTAAATCCCAACGGGAGCGACTCATTAACTTTCTTAGTTTGAGTCAGTCAACTATAGTCTATAGACAATCTAGACTAGTTTATCTCATTGTAGTCTTTTGTCGGTTATGATTACAAGATGAGATTTGCA